CCCCAAAACCCCAAAACCCCAAAACCCCACAAGTATTACTTAAGCAGTGTAAATTAATAAATTTTTATAGATCTTTATTATTGAAGAATACTTAATAGATATAGCAATTAATAAGAATATCATACACAGCATATACTGTTGCCCTTTACATGTTGATAGCCTATTTTATTTTCAGTTTTAAGATCAGGAGTCTGATTCCTTGCCAGCTGAACAGTACAAAACTTATTCTTACCCAGATCTAGATATAAATAATGCATCTTTTTATCAATATAGCTTAGACATATAAGTTTTCCAGTTTCACTTCCAACGAATATATAGTTTGTTGGATCAAATGTTATAGATGTGATTGCTATATCATCGAAAATCTTCACGCTCTCCAGTCTTTCAAGAGTGAGATAATCGAATGCAATAAGTTTCCCATCAGTCAAGCCAACTAAAATGTGCCCATTATCATAAGGACCATAATTGATGCAAGATATTTCCGCATTCGTATCTATAATTTTTATAGTCTCTGCTTAGTTTTCTTCCAAGTTAAAAATCATTATGAAACATCTGCGCTATTTAAGATATAAAACCTCGCCAGTTAATACGATTTTCTTAAGAGTTTCACCTCCAGCAATGCTTGAATTACCAAATCCTTAAAGATTTGCTTGCCTTGTAGACCATTTAAGCTAGGGAATTTATACAAAAGTAAGTCTCACAAGCTCTAAACCATGATCTTTAAAGCAATCATAAATATCATATCTATTGCATAAAATACCATTGACCTGAGCCACATCTAGCACATATTTCATATTAACCATTTGCTCTTAAGTTGAACTTGAAGTATCTTCATAGCTATTCTCATTGTATATAATGTATAATCTTTCCATAGCGAAGTCTAGAGATTAAACTGCCCCATCGAACTTGATTTTTTTATACTAATAATTATTTTAGAAGATCTTTCCATAATACTAAGTGTGGTGAGTATTTATTAATATTGGTTCTTTATTTAGGATACTTTTAGGTGTAGGGGGTTTTAAATTTCCGTAGCTCTTCGAAGCCGATGATTGATTTGATTACTGCTGATTTTCATTTGGTTGTATTTATGTTTTTATCTAATCATGTAGTTTATGATTTATTAGATAAGAGAAGAAAGTATTGTCAGGAGAGATGCAAAATACAAGCTTTTTAAATTAGGAGTAATTGTAATAATTTATAGCTGAAAATCCTGAGCATCCAGCTAAGTCACTTTCTTTCAATGATTACTCTTATATCTCGTAAATTTAGTATACTATTTGCTAGCTTTACTTTGCTCTCATGAATTTCTTGAATTCTTCAGTGCTAAATCTAGTATTAACATCGATATTTTCGGTAATTGTCCCATCCGTGCCAGTAAATGTAAATTTGTTATTTTCCCTCAATTTTTTAAGTCTTTGATATTCGTTAATAGATGAGCTGCGACTTTCCCTGTTAGAAGGGAGCTATAATTGAAAATCAAATATGTCATCCTCAGTCTATCTCTCATTAGTATCTGGCAGAGTATTATGGGTATTTGAAGTATTTCTCTCATCAGGTTAAGTCTAGAATCTATTATTATTGTCGTCTTCATCTGAAAATGGCTCTAACAAATCTCCATCACCCATTGCTTTTATTAAGTTATGATTATTTTGAAGTTATTCAAAGTTTAATGGATCATTCACAGACTTCTAGGTACTTAATTATGTATTCATTGTCTAGGATTCCTGTGTCTCAAGCACATCCTTAATATATGGTTTGACTGTATCTCTTTTGAATTGATCCAAATCTTAATCTAAAAAGAGATTATAATTGTCATAGGAAGATCGAGGCTCAGATGCTTCTCCATTTATTAGTTTATTCCTGACTAGTTCTTGCATTTATCTTTATAACTCAATGTCCTCCATTACTGCAGCAAAAGATCTTTCATTTTCTTTTTTAATTTTAAGCATTCTTATGATCATTTTATTTCTTATAAGATGCTTGGTTATCAAAAGGACATTCTAAGGTTTTTCATCATCTATGAATCCAATATACTCAATCTACTCGTTTTCAGATACACTAGTATTAATCAATACCTAAGGTTTTTCATCTATATCATATCCAACTATACAAAAACCTGAAGTAGAAGCTATCAATAAACGTTTCCTATCAAACTCGTATTAATTTCTGAATCCAATGAACTTTCTTTGAGAAAAGGACAAAAACTTAATTGGAGTTTCACCAATAGAAATAGAGAATGCCTCAACAAACTTTAACTTCTAAGAATCCTTTACTTTTTTCTTTGGTAACTGATCCTTTGACTACGTAATAAAAATTATTAAATGAGATAATCATTATTTTACCTGAAAATCCCTAGCTGAAAAAGATTGCTAACGTAGGTTATTCAAAAAATCTATTTGTTTCTGCTCCTTTTTAGCCAAAGTAAATCTTGTTTGATTAAAGAATGGTGAATTCTCAATATTCTTTGGATTAGGTGCTATATCTTAGTTAGGCTCAAGGTTTTATAAAGATTTAAATTACCAGTACAGCAGAATCGATTACCCATTTATAAATAATTTAACAATTATTGCATCAGATTCTAAAATCTAAAGTTAATGAATACCTTGGGGTTTTGGGGTTTTGGGGTTTTGGGGTTTTGGGG